AAGAGGGAAACATCTTTTGTGTCTATAAATTACAAAATCTTTCCCAGAAAGTCCTTACTTTGGCCATAGCTGGGTAGTAAGCCTGTCTCTAATCCAATGACTAACAAAGGGGAATACAATCACCATGATTGTCTTAACCAATTGTACTAGAGATAGAGTCCCTTTTCCCAAGTGATGGATATCTGAAAAAAATTAGGAATCTATTAGCAGAGAAGAGTTAGGATGGTACTTAGTGGTATCTGTTACAGTCTGGATCCTGGTACATGGTAAACATTAAGTATTTGCTAGCTATTTTTATTAGCTCTTATTACTTCTATAAACTTATTCAAATCCTAAATCTAAGGTCCCAATTTCCTCATCTGTAAAATGGAAATAAGGTGGTCTTTTTTTTTTTTGGATGGTCAGAAAATTACATGAGATAACATATATAAAGACTATGGTACTCAGTAAATACTACTTATAATTGTATATAATTACTGCCAGGGTACTTGGGCCACAAGTCTCCAATAAAGGTTCCTAGGGTTGGTCCTAGCCTGAAATCCTTAAAACAATAAGCACTAGAAAGGGTTCATACTCAATGTTCTATAACTGTGATTCTGCATTTTAATATTCCAGACCCTAATTTTGTGGGAATAGTTGCCTGTGCCCAGTAGTTCTCCCTTTATATCTGGAGGCCCAATGAGACAATGATCTCTGTGAGGTGCTTCACTGTCATGACGCCCTCATCCCTAGAGGGGGCAAAAGGCAATCCCGTATCCCTTCCTTGATGGCCCAAGACTAACAACCTCAACTACCACTAAGGGTAGTAGATATCATGTCTTGGCCTGTGAGATTTGGTATGGGAACTTGACGGGCAGGAAATATCTTCTGTCTTCTTTGCTCCTCCGTAGCACCAAGGACTATGGCTGTGTCAGATCCTGGTTCCCATCCCAGCTCCACCAATTACTAGCAGTATGACCTCATGCAAAGCAGCACTTCTCTTTGGATGTCATTTTTCACACATGTATAATGGGAAGCAGCTGTATCTTTTGTCATTTCCCTCTCAAACACAAGCCTTCAGTCAACTAGAGTAAACTGCTCTTCTTGAATGACCATAGTGTTTCTCCTGCATCATCCTTTTCCTATGCTACTTCTCTGTCAGGGTCAATGCTAATCTCATTTCCACCCTAGCTTGGATAACCCCTCCTTAGGCTTCAGGATGGACCCAGCACGCTTCCGCTGCACAACTCTGCTCAGCCTAGGCTTCAGGATAAGGTTCAGGAAAGCACTTCTCTTTCTACCTTGAACCCACAGCTCAAGAGATCCTAAAGCACAGTGGGCTTATTTCTACCTCTGCATTGATGTGTTGGTTTGGGGGTTACTTTTGCAAAGGGAACAATATAATACAGGACACATATTTATAGGATTATTTATAATAATCGCCCAAAAAACAATATACAAAAGAGTGCAGGAAATCTGTCCACACACTAAGACCAAGGAAACCAGCTGAGGGCCTGGATCTCACGGAAATGTCTTGCATGAGTCCAGCTGAAGACCTAGAGCTCATAACATGCCTCCCACGAATCCAAGTGGAGACCCAGAGCCCATGACAATGTCTTATGCAAGCCTGTTCCACGGATCTGCACTGGGAAGGCCCAAACGTCAGTGGTGGAACCTAGGAAGTCTGTGCCAGTGAAATGAAGGATCTATGCTAGCAGGCTGAGGGATCTGCACTGGAGCCAGAAAGCAACCTTAAGAAGAACCAGAGCTCCCCTGAAGGGTACCACAGCCATCCTCAGCATCAGTGAGGTCCCGAGCTCCTCCGATGATCAAGATGGTTGAGTTCCCATCAGGAAAGCCAGCACAGCAAGCTTCTCCTGGAGACTGGCAGTGCACCATCTTCCCCTCCGGAGCCAGGAAGCAAGGCTCAAAGTGAGGACCAGAGCTTCCCCAAAGTGAACCAGAGCCATTCTCAGTGCCAACGAGATCCCGAGCTCCTTGCAGGTTGGAAACAATCAAGTTCATCAGGAAAGCCAACATGATGAGCTCCTCCAACAAAACCAACAGCGCCTGACAGCTTCCACCAGCTCCAACAGCCTTTCTCTGCTCCCAACAGCCTCTTTAGTTCCCAAAAAGCCTTTCTTCTTCTCCAGGTCTACCTCTTATGCTGCTGGCAACAGCCCCAGGTGGGCCTCCCACACCCAGCACCATGCTTACTCAGTTCAGCTGGAGGTTATAAGTGGACCACCAGTTATCAATCCACTACAATTGATCTCCCAGGATTGTAACTACTTTACTCCTCTGTTTTCACTACTAGATTTTTTTCTCAAATTAGGATCTCAGTATGTAGCTCAGGCTGGCCTTGAACTCACTATGTAGCCCAACCTAGCTTCAAACTCACAGTGATCCTCCTGCCTCAGCCTCCCAAGTGCTAGGATTGCAGTCATGCACCACCACATCCACCAGATTTTCAGACCCCGAGTTGAAAGCAAGGCTACCGCCACACCCAGCTTCTTTATTGTTTTAGCCTCAGATAAGTAAAGACTGACGAAGTGTTTCCGCTGCACTGGTCTTCTCAATGAAAGTGAGCTCTGTACTGAAGTTACCATGGATGTTGTGTAGAGCCCCAAATAGTAAAACAGAATCATTCACCCTCCCTCCTTCTTCACTCCTGGAATCCTAACCACAACAAAATAGCATGATCACTTGCTTCCTGGGGGAGACCATCCCAGCAAGCAGAGCATTTCAATGAACAAATAATAAAAGTGTGGAACAAATGTTAGAGGGTTATGTAAGCCCCCAAGAGGAGGACTGGAATCAGACTTGGCAAGAATCAGTGAATACATCCAAAGTTGATAGATTTATTATTGGGCGTTTTGTGTTTCCCTCTCCTGCCTCTGTATAATAACCAGCAGGGTGGGACACAGTACCAAAGTGATTTGGAGGAGATAGGGCACCTAAATTCTTTTTACATAGAAAGGGTTCTGAATTTTTACATTCCATCTTCAAATATGAGTCCTGAATAACCTTGGGGGAACGGAGTTTAACGTACCATGCATTTAACTTGCGTGTGCTCTCTCACTAATTTTTAAAAATGATCATACTCTCATGTTTCCTCAAGAGATTAGTTAGAAAAAAGATGTTTATTTTTCATTTTTCTGGAGCTCAAGAGGACTTAAGTATTCCAGATGCTCATATTTTTCTGGGGTGAACCAAATGTCCTAATTCCAAATTTCAGTATTCTATTTCTTCCTCTTCAGTACCCTAACTTCCACATAAAAAACCTGATGCATCTGTGATTTCTGTTAACATTATAGTTCTGTGCCCACCAGATCTAAGTTTGGGCTGATTTTCAACTATATTAACACTGCAGCTATCTTAGTTTTTTAAAAAATTATTTTAGAGCCATAATAGAAGCTCCCTGATTCTCTGAACATGCCTAGAACTATGATTTCAGAACTCTGAGCTTATACTTTTCTTTGGATGAGAATTTCAGCAGTCAGACGAAGCCAATCCAGTAAAAAAATCCTTTTAGCTACAATTTCCATCTTAATGGTTCCTTTCAAAAGCAGTTGGTCTCCCAAAGACTTGCCTTCAATAGGCATTTTTCTCCAGTATTCACAGGTGATAGTGTCATTAAGTCTTTTACTAGTGCATGGCATGGACTATTATTAGTTGGGAGATACAATCCATTAGAGGTTCCAGTTGTCCCTGTACATCTTTACTGAGTGTGCCAAACTGCAAAGATTAACCATTCTCTGCCCAGATCATTCCTGAAATTAGACACAAAGGCAATTATGTAGGGCAGTTCAACCATGGCATAACTACTGTATCAAGCAACTATTCACTTCCAGGGAAAAGAGACTGGCTGGTTGAGTGCTTGCTATAAAAGATTCTAAGTTCTTGGGCTAGGGTTCCTCACCAATAGCACTACCCTATTCCATGTATGGCTGCATCTGGACCATTGCATTGCCCTGTGGGACTTAGGGACAAGGAAACCAGCTCTACCAGTCTGTTGGCTTTGCTGTTTACTGTGCTGAGTAGTAAACTGTCTTTTTCTGATCTACTGAGCCTTGGTGTATACCTGTGGCATCTATGAAGTTGTGTCAAGCTAGGTGAGAGTCCTATTACTCCTTGCTGTCTTCCATATGGTTTGGATTCTTTCTTGATATGGTAGCCCATTTTTCACTGGCAGTAAGGTCATCACTGAATTCAAGCCCACTTGTGCCATAATACAATCCAACATTTCCATTTTTGAGGGTCAGTTTCCCACAACTGCTTTCTATATCAAGCTGTCAGTGAGTGTCTGTCTGGAGAATAAATCATTTTAGATCTGTACTGTCCAATATGGTAGCCATTAGCCACATGTGGCTATTTACATTTAATTATTAAATGAAAATTGAACTTTTCAATCCTGTAGTCAGACTAGTCACATTTCAAGAGCTCACTGGCCACATATGGCTAGAAGATACTATATTGGTTGGCACAATTAGGCATTTCTGTCATCACAGAACATTCTATGAGTAGTGCTCTCTAGATTATTTGGAACAGAAAGAGATTTAATGCACCAAAATGTTTACAAAGATGTTAGGAAAATTTGAGGCCTTTCTTCCTTAGGCATCTCCTGCAAATAGTTGGGAAAAAATTGTTATCTTAATTGAAAATGTACAGATGTTTTCTTGTCATTAATCCCTAAGCGATACAACTATTTTCATAGCACTTACATTGTGTTATGTCTTGTAAGCAATTTAAAGATATTTAATATATATGGGAGATGTGTGTAAGTTATATGCAAATGCTATTCCATTTTATATAAGAGACTTGAGCATCCATAAATTTTGTATCCCTGAAAGTAGGGTGTTCTAGAACAAATTTCCCATGATACCAAGAAATGACTGCTTTGTATTTGACCCTTTGCTAGACTATAAACTCATTGAGAGGAAGGAGCATTTCTGTTTTGCTCCTAATTGAGTCTCCAGTGTCTCGCAGTGTTTAGAGCAGAGTTGGAAATATTTACTTACCTGACAGACTTGCTCATCATATTGTTCTGCCAAAGAATTTGGGAAAAGATTTAGTGATGGGCATATAGAAACTATACAAATGAAAAAAAAGCAATCAACTCCAAGCAAAACTAAAATCTTAACAAGAATGGAAATGTAGTCACAGAACTCTACACAGCTTGATCATGAATAATATTTATATTGTTATAATCAGGGCCAGTAAGACTGTGCTGTTAACACTAGGCCATATCAATTGCTAAGCATGTGAGATATTTCTATACTGGTCAATAAACAGTGGCTCCTCCAAGCTCCCTGAGTACCCTGATGCCACTGCTCTGGCTACCCCATCTACTCCTCCCCTTTGTCTTAGAATTCCCTAGACTGTCCTAGCATCCAGAAAATACAGAGACAATAGCTGGTAGCACCAGGGGCTTCAGAGCTGTGCCCATGAGGCCAGCACCTGTTTAGATCATTCAGTGCCTATGGCTGTCACCATACCTCCTCCTGTCCTGCTTGCTACGCCACCTGTCCAGGGAATCTTGCATGGGAACCACCAAGAAATTATTCTGGTGTTCAGCAGCCAATAGCTAGCCTGGCTTACTTCCCATACGTTATCCCCTGTCCTGACCCAGCAGGCTCAGATCTCAATGGGAGAGGCAGCCATGGTGGAGGGGATGCAGGCATAAAGGGCAAATGCTTTTAATGGTAATTCAGGTTATAACATAGAAATACCACACAATTCCTTAACAAAAATTTGTGATAATAATTATAGACCTAATTATATTAAATGATGGGGAAGAAAATTAGAGATAAATTGGTATTAGAGAAATTCTCCACTGTTCAAAATCAGTAGATAATATTTGAACTTAAAATCAAGAAACAGCGGTATAGATATCTTATTTGAAAAATGGAAGTAAATAGAAAAAGAAACAGCTCAAATTGGCTAATGGCCTTTAAAGAAAAAAACTTGGAGTGGGGAGAGATAGGGCAGGAATCTTTTTAAAAAATCATATACATGATTTAAGGAATTATTTTTTCGTTTAAGGCTATTTACATATTACTATTTTTTTAAGGAGGCCTTTAAGAAATCCAAATGAATGGTCATGATGGCCAATGGTGATGGTAACAAACCAGAGCTAAGTGGATTTAGGAGAATATTTAGGAGATGATTTGGCATAACCTGGTCAGAGTATGGTGAAAGAGGGCAAGGGAAGGAGAGAAGAGAGAATAATGCAGATTGGGACATGTAACTGCGTTACTTAGCATTTGGATATCAGGGGCTGCTTCCAGCACCACATACAGCAAGAATGACTGACCCTGTTTGGGAAAATCAGAACTACTTTACTGAGTATGGGGTATTCGAACTGTGTCTTTTTGTTTGTTTTTTGTTTTTCTTCCGGTACCAGGAATTGAACTCTCACGACCTTGCGCTTGCCAGGCAGGCGCTTTGCCACTGAGCTAAATCCCCAGCCCCTTGAACTGTGTCTTAAAGAGAGCATAGAAGTTTCCCATTCCACAGAAGCTGAACTCTAAAATAAAGAAGTATCCTAACAGAAGGATATTCTTGGGCAAGTGTGGTAGAGAATAATAAAAAATACAAAGAAACAAAAGCATGGGAACACCGTTTTGGAGGAAAACTTCTATTTCATGTGAGTTTGGGAGGCAGCATTAGGAGGAAAAAACAGTTTGAAATTAATTCCATCCCAACTTGGCCAGTGTTTCAGGAAGTAAAAAAACGAAATTGTGGACAAAGGAGGTAGTTAAGAGGAGTGTTTACTGGAAGTATAAGAAGAAAGAAAGCTCCCAGTATTTAGGAACGGTCCCGAAATTGGGTTTGCCAAGTAAGCTCTTTGTCTAGCATAAGCAGAGCATGGGAATCTGCTCAGTATCTAGTGATCATCTATCACGGGTAGCCCCGTGGGTGTAAAAGAACCAATTAGGACTCAGGCTTTCTAACGCAGAGTTCAAAAGAAAACCAATCACTCTGCATTTTTAAATTTCTCTGAACCAAGCTGGATTTATAGGGAGGGGTTTTTTAGTTTGGTGTATTCCATTCAGTTTAAGGAACTCCTTCCTAGAGTCCTAACTGCCTGTCTCAGTATCCTAACTCCTATCAAAATTAAGTAGGAATAAGAGTTTGCAACTAGAGCCCAAGTGGTCCTCTCTTCAAATTGATGGCAGTATAACAGGTACAAATCTTCTGAAAAGCAATTTAGAAATATTCACCAGAGGCCATTGTAATTTTTCTAATCTTTGTCTTAATGACCCAGTTCCTGGGGTTTGTTCCTAAGGAGATATAATTTTAAAGAATTGAAGGAACAATATCTACTAAGATGTTTATTGTATTATTAGTAGTAATAGTTAAAAGTTGAAAAAACAAAGTCTTCATCAAAGGAGAATACTTAGGTTTGGCACATTCACACAATAAATCATAAATATGCAGACTGGTATATCAGTCAGAATTTAGGTGAGCTCATCCAAGAAGCCTGTGAGACCCAGGGGAAGGGAGAAGGTCAAATGTGGGCAAGAGAAGAAAAGCAAGGTGGAATTCATGTCAGCTCCTGCAAGGGCAGCTGGTATTCATTGAGCACTTCTTTTTTGGTATCATTTAATTCTCACTCCAATTCCATGAAGGTGGTACTGATACTATTCTCATTTTACAAATAAGGACCTGTGATGGAGTGATCTGTCAAGGAACATTTAGCTTCAAAGTAAAGGAGCTGAGATTCTCACCCAAATCCATGTAGTGGGGAGCAGTGTTACTTCTCTGTAACATGATGCAAGTTACCCGATGAAGTTCATGCTATCCGTGAGATGTCCCTTTAACAGCTCCTTAGCATCTTTGTTTAGTCTTAGGGGAATAAAGTCACACCTATGTGGACACCAGTGAATAGCTAAATGGAAAAATCTATATGACACAATGCTCAGCAATAAAAATAGGATATGTAGTTATATCACTGATAAAGCAGCCAAAAGTCACTACGCTCCCAGACAAGCGTAGGAAGAGGTAAGGAGAAATGAAAACAGATAATCTGTGAGTGGGTACTCGTATTTCCTCTTTCTCGTGTTTTCGGGGTTTCCATTCTTATCACTGTATTATTTGCACAATAAAAAGCAGTTCACAATGAATGAAGATTGGAAAGACAGAAAGTACAAGCCCCTAGGGTGGCCCACGGCAGGTCTGGAGTCCAGCTGCAGCTCTGGGTCTTCCAGAGCCATTCCCATGGCAGCACTCCTGAAGAAGCTGGATCCTTCTGGACAAAGGAGAAAAGGAGAAAAATGTAGCATGTGACCCAGACCAAGAGGCTTTGGTTCTCTGCTGTCACGCTTCTTCGCTGGTGTCATTGCCATATACTGCTCAAAGTTCTTACCTGGCTTGGGGAGGTATAGCTAGGACTGAGCATGTCTCAGCCCAACTTTTTTTTTGCATCTGTTGTTGTTACTGCTTCCCCTTTATTTGTTACTGGTTGTCCTGGCTGGGACTTTGGTTTGGCCTTCCCAGAGGAATGGCCTGCATGAGATTCTCTCTGACTGAGGGACAGGGGCCAATGTGACCTCAAGCAACAAAAAAACAGTGAAAACAGCAACATTCAGGCCTGAGCTTCAGGGTTGGGGCCCAGCAGCTTTCTTTTGTTCATATTCACAGCCCATACCTCACTTGATTTTATTCTGTCCTTTAGATCACCATTGCTTCCCAGATGCCATCTATACACTTACCTGTGCTGTTCCTTGGTCTGGAGTGCCCTTTCTTGTGTTTCCTGACAGAGCTAAGGCCTGCTCAGGCCGTAGTATTATCACTTCCTTGATGAAACTTTTCCAAATCTCCTTTGAGAGCATGAATCATTCCCTCTTCTGGTTCCCAAAGCACTTGATTTCCTATGGCAATTGTATTTTTCTGTAGTACATTACAGTTATTTATGTCCATGTCTGTTTCTCCCACTAAATGGTGAGCTTCTCAAGGTGGCCAAGGAACATGTTTTATCCACCTCTGATTCCCCACACAGCTTGGCCAGTGTCACACATATGGTAGGTGCTCAATCAATGTGTGGAATCACATTAAATTACAGTGGCTGAGTTCTTCCTCTTTATATGTCATGGATTCTCTGGAAAAGCTGTACAGTTTATAAGCAGATGACCAATTGGTTTTATGTCCATTTCTTTCCTGTGCATTCTAAAAGAGGCAGGAAGAGGAAGAGAGCTAAAGCTATCTGTGGATCCATATTCCACCCAGTTCAACTAGGGCTCCGTAGAGGGGGTAATGATATGAATAATAACTAGCATGTGCAGAGTCTCTTAGACTTTCACACTCATAAACTTTTTGAGTCTCAGAAGAACTCTAACAAGTAGGCTGGGTGGGCATTATTACTTGGCTTGTTCTGAGCTTATAGCTAAGGGAACCAGAGCTCAGAAAAATGAAGTGATTTGCTTACGATTTCATTGACTGGAAGTAGGCTGAAACGAAAACCCAGATTTGTTGACACAGACTTTTCTCTTGCGATTGTTCAGGTGACAAGGGCACAGGCATCCCTTCCTCTTGATAAAAGTTTGCAGAAGGAAGAAAACCTATGGTTTAACCCTTGATAAGGTATATTTCAGGCTGGGGATTTAGCTCAGCAGCCCAGCGCCTGCCTGGCAAACGCAAGGTTGTGAGTTCGATTCTCAGTACTGGGAAAAAACAAAACAAAACAAACAAAAAAAAAAAAAAAGAGAAGCAAATTTGCAAGGAGTTGGGGATTTAGCTCAGCGGCACAGAGCCTGCCTGGCAAGCGTGAGGTCGTGAGTTCGATTCCCGGTACCAGAGAAAAACCAAACCAAACAAAACAAAACAAAAGGTATATTTCCATCAGACCTCCAATTGTTACTGTCATATATTTACCTGACCCACTAAAGGCTTTGTTCTTTAAAGGCAGAGACCATGCCTCTGTTATTTCTTTCTCCAATACCTAGCACTCTGGCAAGTTCTATACTTTTCCTGGGTTTTGGTTTTCATGTCTGTAAGAGAAAGAGGCTAAGTTAAGAGTTAAATTGGGTCACATTCACACTGGCACCCAGCACAGAGGCTAGAGCCTAGTCCATGATTTCCATTGCCCTCCCCACAGACAACTCCCAGCTCCAACACTAAGGCCTCCCAGACTCCAGCTGACATGATGGAGTGTGCACCCTGAATGCTGCAGCCTCTTCCCAGGCTGGCCATGGAAACTGAGCCTCCTCCAGACTGCAGGGCCGCCCTGCTCACACGGATCAAGTCCGGAGCCTCATTAGTCATGTCAGATGACATAGTTAACTCTCGGGGCCAGCACAGACAGTTCATCAAAAGCCCCTGTGTGCCTGGCTCCACCGCTACAGCTGAGGAACTACTGTATGTGGTGCAGGCAGCACATCAGAGCAGCAACATCAGAATGCTTCCAAATTGGTTTTGATTAATTGCATAGACGTGTCTTTAATTGGTGCCAGGGTAGCGGCCAGAGAACTTATGGGAAAGCAGGATGTTATGCTTTCATTCCCTGAAGTCTCATAAAGCAGTGAAAGATGAGGAACAGAATCACTGCTCATTGCAAATTTATCGACCATGCAGACCCAGAAAACAAAAATAGCTATCTGAATCGAAACCTAACCTCATTTTCCCAACTCATTGGAAGTCATGCATGTTCCCCTCCGCCATGCCTGCCTGCCTGCATGCCTGCCTACCTGCAGAGATGTGCTGCTGAGCAAAAGGTTATGATTTCTAAGAAATGAGTAAGTACTGAGACAGCATCTTGAGCTTTCCCCAGGTCTACTGGAGAAGATGCCTCAATGTATCTGACAAGGCATCTGCCCCACAAGCGGCTCTTCCTCCAGCCCATTACCATCCTATGAAATGATATCCAAAGCATTCATTCATACACTCAGTCTTTCTTTTGTATCCCTTGGAGACTTAGGATATATGTAATGAGTGTGTACTAAATATAAAGCACTATTTTGGTGTCAGAGGGAGTACAGAATAGAGCCAAGTACAGAGCCTTCCCTTGGGGAAATATTTACCAAGGGGAAAAGAGGATAGGTTCACAGATGGACTAAGGCATGACTGTGGCATCATATAGGAGGTATGCATTGGGATTTGGCATCAAGAGGACTTAGGATCAAATCTCAACTCTGCTTTCTGTTACTGGGCTGACTTGAGAAGTCACTTTGATTTTCTGAGTTTTAACTGCAGAATAGGATAATCACACTTCTTGCATAGGGCAGTTGCAAGGCTTGTAAGAGTAGAAAGTACCCAGCAGAAGGCCTGGCACTGATAAATAAATGTTGCCAAATCTGAGTATGCATCAGATTATTCATTGAGAGTTCATATATTCCAGAAACATGACTACAGATCACAGATTCTGTGTCAATCTCTGCTGTGCATTGGGGATTTATATAGGAAGCTCAGTTCTGCCCTTGGATGAGACTGATGTCTAGTACAAAGTAGCAAAGATTTAGTCTGGCAAGGGGGCAAAAGATTAAAGATGTGGTAACCCAAGTGTACTCAGGATTAAGAGAAAGTAAAAGAGAGAGTATTCATTTCCATCTGGGAAAACTAGGAGAGGTTTGCCTGAAGAGGCAATGCTTGAACTAAGTTCAGATACATGAGATTTCCATTTGCCAATAAATAAAGATATTTCACACATAATCCCATAGTTTCTTTCTGTTTTGGTTAGGATTTGGTTTGTCCCCCAAGGGTTCATAGGCTAGAAACTTGAACTCCATTTTTTTGTGGTGTTAAGAAGTGGTAGAACATTTAACAGGTGGGATTTAGCTGAAGGTGGTTAGGTCATTGGCTCCTTCTTGACATTTATAACCTGATATATTTCCCTATTCTTTAATTGTTTCATTATATGTCTCTTCCACTAGAATGACAGGTCCATGAGAACCTGAGCTTGTGGCTATCTTTTCCTTCATTCTATTACACCATCGTTGCTTGGCATTTTTGTAGGTATTCAATATATGTTTGTTACGTGAATAAACAACTGGAGGCACAAGAGAACATACTACAATCAAGGAACTAATATGAGTACAGTGCCTGACACACCACAGGCATTTCTGTCACAAAATTAAACAATTAAGGATTGTTGAAGCATAGGCCAGAGGAACTGAGGTAGAAAGTAATACAGGAGTGCCTCGTTTCATGAACTCAATTCTCTCCACAATTCTGGTTGCAAACAGAACTGGAAAGGAACCAAATCAAATTTCCCCATAAGGTCAACATTGAACCTAACTGTTGAATTTGACTCGGTTCCAACTCACTTCACAACCAGAATCGTGGAAAGAATGTTTGTGAACCGAGGTACCACTCTACTAGTAAAAGATGTGGCCTCTGAGCAGTACCTTGAAGGCAACAATATGATAGGGACAGTATGACAGTGCTGTGAAGTGTGACAATATATATGATAGGGATGTTAGGGAGGCAATCAGAAAAAACTTTAAATCCCCTCCATTCTTGAGCTTCTAAGAATTTCTCCAGAGCCACACTTTCTGGTCCTCTCACTCATACCCTTTCTTTCCACTCCACCCCGTCTGGAAGCTGTAAAACACTTGACACATCATTTCCTGCCAATGTAAATCACAGACTGATTTGTGATACTGGTTCTCAGTTTTTATCACCCCCCAGGTGGAGATGGCTCCATTAGTCAGGATGAGACCCCAAGCAAAGCCAGTCTTTCCAAAGGATGGCACATGGGGAAACTGCTTACCCACCAGCACCTTCTTGGCTCTGCTCCCAGATAATTTTATGTTTTCTGGTCCTGGATCTGCTCCTTAGTTGGATGCACCTCAGTTCACTTGCTGGAGCACTGATGTGTGACTGTTTAACTGCTGCTGCTTCCTGTTCCTGGGATTCTGGGCTTCAGGGAGCATGGAAGAGACAAAAAAGGAGCTTTATATGAGGTAAGCCTTGACAGTAATAATAAATGCCAAAGACTAACTTACATTTAGATAGTACTTAACAATTTACAAAGCCCTAGAGAACTCCTATTCATCCTTCAAGACCCTGTATAAATGTTACCTCTTTTCACCAAACCTCAACTCTCCTAGGCAGAGCTGATCGTTCCCTGTACACCTGATAAAACCTCCACTGTTGCCCTTACTGCCTTCTAGTAAATACAGTGTGAATATGTTTCATATCTTCCATTAAACCATCAGCTCCTTGGGGATAGATTTCTTCACTCCCAGTAAGACATGTTTCTTTCTCTTTGGTTTTTTTTTCTTTCTTCTTCATTTTTGGGGGATTAGGATTGAACCCAGGGCCTCACACATGCTAATCAAGCGCTTTACCAATGTGCTACATTCCCAGATCTTTTCAATTTTAATTTTGAGACAGTCTCACTAAATTGTACAAGCTCGCCTTGAACCTGTGATCCTCCTATTTCAGTCTCCCAAGTAGCTGAGATTACAAGCATGTTCCACTAGGTTTTGCCTTGTCTTTCTTTCTTTTCTTTCTTTTTTTCTTTCTTTCTTTCTTTCTTTCTTTCTTTCTTTCTTTCTTTCTTTCCTTTTTCTTTTTCTTTTTCTCTTTTTCTCTTTTTTTCTTTCTTTCTCTCTGTCTCTGTCTCTGTCTCTCTCTCTGTCTCTGTCTCTGTCTCTGTCTCTCTCTCTCTCTCTCTCTCTCTCTTTCTTTCTTTCTTTTTCTTTTGGTTTTCTGAGGCAGGGTCTGCTGTGTAGTTTAGGCTGGCCTTGAACTCACTATGTCGCCCAGGCAGGCTTCAAACTCAGGGCAATACTCCTGACTCAGCCTCCTGAGTGCTGAGTTACAGGTGTGTACCACCATACATGGCTTGTTTTTCTTTTTTAAAAGTAATATTAATATTCATTATACATCATTTTCTAGCTATAAAACTAATATTTATAGGCAAAAATAATAAAAATTATATACATATAATAAAGACAAGTTTAAATCTCCTATAATTTCATCACCCAGATTAAACCATTGGTAACATTTTTACTGTATCTTAGGCCTTTTTAGCATATAAAAAGTAAAAATGAGTAAACATTATGTACTACAAAAAATTATGTATAATACACATGTACTAATAAACTGAATAAAAAAGAGAAAATAAAATTAACATTAATCAGCTTTATTTAATCCTTCACAATGTAAGCATGTAACAAAACATATACATGCAATTTGTATTTTTCAATCAAACATAAACTTTGAAGAGTTAAAAAAAGTAAAACTGGAAAATTAGATGTGCAATTGTGTGTGTTTATTCTTTTTGGAATCGGAAGTTGAACTCAGGACCTCATGCTTGCCAGGCAGGCGCCATGCTGCTGAGCTATATCCCTGGCCTTGCATGTGGTTTTATAGTGAGATTTTATCACCTATTCTATTGTGAACATCTTCAAATACCATGGATGACACTTTAAAGAATTGTTTTGACTTCTGGGCATGATGGCACATGCCTATAATCCAGCACTTAGGAGACTGAGGGAGGAAGATCGCCTCGAGTTTGAGGCTAGCCTGGGCTACATAGCAAGAATCTGTTTCAAAAACCCAAATACTTATATATATATATATATATATATATATATATATATCTTTGTCTGCATCTCAAGTATTTCCTAGAAATGGAATGTTTCCTTAAAATGGAATTTCTAGACCAGCTGGTCTAAACACTAAAGTTTCATTATGCTCACCGCCAAGTTGGCCTAAGAAAGCAAAACCAATTTATCATTTCCCCAAAAAATGAACGTGCTTATGGTATTTTTGTAAATGAATGTCTGTTTGTTAATATGTTTTCCTTCTTTTATTTTTAAAATAAATTTTTAAAAAAAGAATGTGCCCTTCTCACAGACCCTCACCAACATTATTATCCTATTTGTATTTCACCAGACTCATTGTCTCTTCACAATGTACCCCTGAAGTGATTTTCTCTTTTTTTTTTTTTTTCCAGTACCAGGAATCAAACTCACAACCTCACACTTGCCAGGCAGGCACTATGCCACTGAGCTAAATCCCCAGCCCCAAGTGATTTTCTTAAACAGAAAAAATTATACAACAGGCCTTGTGTTGTCTTCTTCCAAGACTTTAACCTAGCATGATTCATTTATTTGCATAATGCTTCAACTACTTTAAGCATTTCAATAAGTTTCATTTGAAAATTGGTTGCAAAACAGAAAACACATTTTTTTACATCTAAATCGCACTATAGTTCTCTCTTTGGGAAGTGAGTTTTGATATTTAGCAACAGTTAAAAGTCACTTGGGCCCGATTTATTTCACTTTTATCTGGTAATCTGAACAACTAATTTGAAGACAACAATATGCAATACAACAACCATTGGTGAATTCCTACCACCTTGTTTAGTGAAACTCTGTATCGTTTCCAATGGGTTTTTTTTTTTGTTTGTTTTTATTTTTTATTCTCTTTAACTGTTTGATTAATCTTGCATTCTTACATCTGGTAATCTGAGCAACTTCGTTGAAGATAATAATATGTAATATAACAACCACTGTAAATTCCTATCACTGTGTTCTGAAATCCTATATCATTTTTATTGCTTTTGCTTTGTTTTGTTTTTGTCTATGTTGTTGGTATTTTGCTATTGTTCTTTTCTTTATTATTCTCTTTAAAATAAAAATTTAAAAAAAGTCACTTGGTAAAGGAGAGGAACTGCAGCTGGGTTTGGGGGCAGAACTGAGGTGTAACTTTACAGTAGTGAGATTGAAATCTTTTCATGACTTGTAAAGAGAAGTTCCAGGCAGTAGTGGCATCATCAGAATAAAGGCTATGCCTCCAAGTGTGACCATTCCCAAGCAGTTACAATAAGGTGGAGGTGCAAGTCTAGCACATACATTTGGGAACCCTTTCTTGTGACTTCGTCATTACTCCACCATAAGCCATAATTTATTTCAGAACTGATCTTCTCCCTCTTTTTTTTTTTTTTTTATACAAGCCTGCTAGAACCTAATGTGACTCCACAACCCAGAACTTACAGGGGCCGTTTAGAGGGCGTATGGGACATGCGCAGCAGTGGAAAGAGCCCTAAGTCTTCAATCAGAAATGCTGTACCCAGCAAGAGGTCTCCAAGGAGGGGGGTCTAGGAGCCCCATAACGACCCTCTCCCTCTCTTCCAGTCTTGCCCTCACTCCAGCGAAGAATGAAAAAAGGGTCTATTATCGGAAAACAGGAGAGTCCAGACTGATATAGTGTGAAGCGAAAGCTTAGTTGAAGTGTGGCAAATGCAGAAGCAGCAGAAGAGCTATCCTAACAGCAGAGTGAACTGCTGTTAGGATCCCCAAGCAGGATGCCCAGTGAGTTTGAGTGTACATCATACTTCTAGAGGTGAACTGGTTTCTAAAAATAACTGTTTCACTGACTGGTGTGATCTAGGCCCATCAGGGTCCTGGCCTTTGTTTCTGGGAAGGGGACAAGGTCAGTGGGGATTTGCAGTAAGTGTGAGTTATGTTTTCATAAAGGATAAAGTAAGGCACATCTTTTGAAGCACACCATACATGATAAGCATGTGATGATTTTTACAATCATCAGCCACAGATAAGCATGTGGTGACTTTACAATGCTAGTCATCCTGGTATTGCCCTGAGTTTTTTATGTCCCTCTGCCCTTACAGAAAGAACTAAGGTGGCCTGTAATCCCAGCTACTAGGGAAGCTGAGGCAGGAGGATCACAGGTTCAAGGCCTGCCTGGGCCGGTGAGTGAGACTGTCTCAAAAATACAAAAGGCTAGGAATGTAGGTATCCTTTTCTTAGGTTCAATTTTCATTACCGCTAAGAATAGAGAGAGGCAGAAAGAGTTGAGCATGGTAGCACACACCTGTAATCCTAGTACTTGGAAGGCCAAGGCAGGAGGATCATTGTGAGTTTCAGGCCATTCTGGGCTACATAGTGAGTTCCAGACCAACCTGAACTACATAGTGAGACACTGTCTCAAAAAACAAAAACAAAAACAAAAACAAAAACAAAAAAAACGAAGCCGGACGTGGTGGCGCATGCCTGTATCCCAGCACTCAGGAGACTGAGGCACTAGGATCGTTGTGAGTGCGGGACCAGCCTGGGCTATAAAGTAAGCTCAAGGCCAGCCTGAACTGCATATCGAGACCCTGTCTCAAAAAAGACAAAAAAAAAAAAAAAAAAAAAAAAAAAAAAAAAAAGGAAAAGAAGGAAGAAAGGCAAGGAGAGTGGGAGCTGGTGCGGGGAGGAAGGGAAGGAAAATGAAAGTAAAGAAAATGAATTTGGAGCCCAGCTCTTCCTCTTCCCAGCTGTATGTTAGGCCTCCTTTTAACAGGATGTCATTTCACAGGATTGTGAAGAGAAATAGAGAATACATACATCTAACCACATATAGAGACACAGACATATAAATACCTAATACTTCTTGAGTACTGACTCCAAGCCAGAGCTATATTTTCTATCTATATGGCAGACCTTGTTGGTTGCTTGCCCCAAAGCCATCTAGCCATTACTACCTCCTTCCACAGGTCCTTTGTAGTTAGGGGTGCCCTTGAACCTGGAGGTGGTGGCTGGGGATCACAGCTATTTTATTACCAAGATGGAAAGGCCAAAGGAACGCACCTCTGAAATTCTTGTTATTGTAGAAAATAATTACTTATTTAAGTCGCTTTTAGCTATCATTACTTGCAGCTGAAATATACATGTGATATACCTGCATAAAAAGTACATACACATAATAGATGCTCAACAAAGGGTAGCTATTTACATTCACATTCACAAACATCTTCTCCATCCAAAAAACTAATGATACTATGGTCATTCTTTATACTTATGCAGCACCTGATGATTTTCAAAAGTTTTTTTTTTGGTTTTTCTCCGGTACCGGGAACCGAACTCACGACCTTGCACTTGCCAGGCAGGCGCTTTGCCGCTGAGC